GACCTTCAAGACTGAAATTTTTCGAAAAATCTCTATGAACTCTCAACGAACTCAAGAGATCATAACCTGAGGAAAAAAAAGAAGATCCATTTTATTAAAATCCTAGAACAACTTACGAACCTTCCAAGTCTACCCAAAACGCTTCTAAGGCTATTTTTAAAGACCCTAATGACCCAAAAAAATGTCTCAAAAGGGGTTGAAAATGGAGCAGCAAAGTCAAATCTTTCAGGGATTCCTCTGAAGCAACACAGAAGCCTTGAAGACAAAAAAATCAAGTGATCAAAAAAAGTGAATTATAAGCATGAAGATTATAGGTCAAGAATAATTTTTCTAAAACGCTTCTAGGGTCACTTTTGAAGACCCAAGCTTTGAAAAATCCTTTAAAAGGTCTCAAAAAGGTCTTAAAAAAGAACAGAAAAGCCAAACTTTCTAGGAATCATTCTTAAGCAACCTAGAAGTCTTGAAGACAAAGTCAAGAGATCAAAAAGTGAAAAAAGAGCATGAAGATTATTTTTTTTAGGTCAAGAATAATTTTTTTTTTCTAAAACGCTTCTAGGGTCACTTTTGAAGACCCAAGCTTTGAAAAATCCTTTAAAAGGTCTCAAAAAGGTCTTAAAAAAGAACAGAAAAGCCAAACTTTCTAGGAATCATTCTTAAGCAACCTAGAAGTCTTGAAGACAAAGTCAAGAGATCAAAAAGTGAAAAAAGAGCATGAAGATTATTTTTTTTAGGTACAGAATAACTCATGACCCTTCCAGATAAACTCAAAAAGCCTCTAGGACCACTTTTTGAAGTTCCAAGCCTCGACAAACCCTGAAAAAGGTCTCAAAAAGGTCTTTAAAAGGATTTGAAATAATCCAAAGAATCTCTAGGAATTTTTCTGAAGAACTAAGGAACTTAAAACAAAACTCAAGAGATCAAAAACTGCGTAGAAGAAATAAACCTAAAATGCTTCTAGGACCACTTTTTCAAGTCTCAAAAACACTAAAAAGGCCTCAAAAAGGCTCGAAAATGGGACAAGGAGTATCAAAAAAGCTCTAGGAACTATCTAAGGAACAAAAAAACTTCGAAAAAAAAGTTCGAGATCAAAAATAGTCAATCCAAACGCTTCTTGAACCCCTTTTTGACGGCTTCAAAACCCTAGAAGGTCTCAAAAAGGTTTAAAAAGGAACAGATAAAGTCAACTCTCTACACATCCCAGAAGCCTTGAAAACAAAACTCAAGAGATCAAAAACTGAACCGAAAAAAAAAGGCGGCGGCGACTAAAAAAGTGCAAATGTTGCTGTCTGCTGGAACTCTCGTAACATCGGCGAGGGAGACGAGACGCAGAGAAACGGTTTTAGGGAGTCAAACTAGGCTCCGCCCACTTTTTTGTTGCGAGAGATGCGCCGTCGCAGTTCCGCTCCGTTCCGTTCGTGTTCGCAACACCGGGCCCAGACATCGTGGGAGGGCATAAATGACCACACGCTCGTTTCTCTGGCGTCTCTCCTGTCTCACTCAGTCTCTCTTCATTAGACCGCGTTTAAGGGACCACTTGAGGGAAAAATGTTTTCAAGCTAGGAAGACTAGAAGGGAGCCTTTGAGTGTTAAAATCTTTATTTTTCCAAGTGGCCCCTCAAGGGGTCAATAAAAATTGGAGAAGCCACTAGAGTAAAGTAACGTTGAAGCATAAAAGCTTTATTTCTCCAAGTGGCCACTCAAGGGATCAATAAAAACAATAGAAGCCACTAGAGTGGAGTAAAGTTGAAGAATGAAAGCTTTAATTTTCCAAGTGACCTCTTAAGGAATCAATAAAAATTGGAGAAGCCACTAGAGTGAAGTAACGTTGAAGCATAAGAGCTCAAGTTTTTCAAGTGACCCCTCAAGGGATCAATGAAACATGGAGAAGCCACTAGAGTGAAGTAAAGTTGAAGCATAAGAGCTCTAATTTTCCAAGCGGCCACTTAAGGGATTAATAAAATATGGAGAAGCCACTAGAGTGAAGTAGTTTTGAAGCATAAAAGCTTTAACTTTCCAAGTGACCTCTTAAGGGATTAATAAAATATGGAGAAGCCACTAGAGTGAAGTAGTTTTGAAGCATAAAAGCTTTAACTTTCCAAGTGGCCACTCAAGGGATTAATAAAAATTGAAGAAGCCACTAGAGTGCTTTTAAACTTCAGAGAAGATGAGCAATGATCTGAATAGCTTCGAAGTGGCCTCTTAAGGGCTTCAGCTTCGAAGTGGCTTCTTAGGGGTCCTTCTCAAAATGAAATGAACTTTGAAGGGGTCACTAAAGTGGCAGGTTAACCTGACACGGGAAAGGACTGTTCCAAAACGATATCTCAAGAAGAGAGATGCAAAATTGATCACTAGAGTGAAAAAAAAGGCTTGAAATAGTGGTCACTTTAGAAATCAAAGAAGCTGAAAAGTGACTACTTAAGGGACTATAGTCTCTAAAAATACTTGATTGAACATTTCCTAGCCTACAAGTCATCATTCTAAAAATCAGAAAACATCCAAGTGGCCACTTGAGTGACGATAGTCTCTCAGGCAAAGACCTCGGTTAATGAAAACACTGAAGTGGTCCCTAAAGTGACCAGACTCTCTGGAACAGCCAATATCTCTCTCTCCTCTCTCTAGCTTCTCTCGAGCCAGTCGGCTGTCCATCTCGCCCTCTCAAACGACGTGTATCCCTAGTCTTCTCTCTCCCGCCCCAGGGCTGAAAAATTGCGAGAGGCCGCCGGTGCCGCCTAGCACCGCGTGTGGTGGTGCTGTTAGTGGACAAACGACGACGACGACGACGACGACGAGAGACAGAGAGACGCCCGAGAAGATCGCCGCGGGCGGTCTTCGGCGTGGTCATTTGATTCCTCTAGTAGAGTGACCACGAGTGTCCGTGTGTGTCTCTAATTGAAGTGGATACGACTTTTTCCCGTTTTAGAAGCTTGTAAAAAGATGAAAAAAACGTAACATTTTTGATATTTTTTGAAATTGCCTGGATCTTGGAATTTTTTTATTGAAGTTTATAAGAATTGTTTCCATCTTTGAGCTGGTAAGAGACAAAAAGATAACATTTCTGATATTTTTTTAAATTGCCTGGACCTTGGAGGGACCTTGGTACTTTAATTGAAGTTTATAAGGATTTTTCCCGTTTTTACAAAATGCAAAAATCGTTATAGTTTCGATATTTCTTGATCTTCCTGGGGCCTGAAATGATCTTTATTGAAGAATTGTTTCCATCTTTGAGCTGGTAAGTGACAGTAACATTTTTGATATTTTTTTCAAGTTTCCTGTGGACCTTGCGGGATCGTGGTATTTTTAATTAAAAATGGATACGACTTTTTCAGTTTTCCAAGCTTGTAGGAGACAAAAAGCTATATTTTCATAATTTTTCGGTTTTTTGATCAAAATCTGGGGTATCATAATTATAGCAAAGTTTTTCTTGAAAAATTTTTTTCTTGTCACAAAAAAATTTTTGAGTCTTTTTCTTTGAGTTGACACACCTTTTTGTTTTTAAAAAGCTTGTTTGAGAAGAAAAAAACGCTATAGTTTTTGATATAATTGGGCCTTTCAGCCTCAAAAATGATATCTTTTATTAAAATTCAGAGTTTTTTTCTTCATTCTCAAGCTTCAAATAGCTAAAAAAATTCTCATAGTTCCCTTTTTTTGATAATTTTGAAATTCGAAATTCTTCAAATTATCATGAGAAAAAAACGGAAAAATTATGAAATTTCTCTACTTGGATCTCCCCCAAAAAGTCCAAGCTTAACATCTCGAAATTTTTCCAGTCTCTGAATAGGTCCTGAGTTCCTCAATGAGAATTTTTGGATTTTACATGAAAGTTTTTCATTTTTGAAGCTTTTCCGATTGTTCTAAGGAGTTCTAGCCTCTATAAAAGTAAAGAAAAAAGGTTTCACTGATTTTCTCAGTTCTCATTGGGATCTCAAATGTATCCTGAAACGAAAAAGATGCTTTTTCAAAAACTTTGACTTGAAAACACGAAAAAAATTTGATTTATAAAGCATTTTCAGTTTTTAATAAAAAAAAACAACTGTCACTGGGACATTCCAAAAAAAAAAATGTTGAATAAAAAATGTTCTAACTAAATTCATACCTAAAAATATTTTTTCGAATCTAATTTTTTTTTTGATTTTTGAAACCTTCTACACTTCCCTGGTGTCTTCAAACCGAAAAAAAAACGCCGAGATAATTATCAAGGACCAAAAAAACGCCATTTTTCGCGCACTGCACTAACAAGGTCATCACTTTCGTTCCAGTTTTTTGGTTTTACGCAACAAGAAAAACGGCTGCGGCGCGTGATAAATTGTGATAAATTGCCCGTAAAACTGGAGGAAATTGGTTCAAGAACGAGAAAGACGGACTAGAAAAACTACTTCCATTCAAATCAAAACTACAAGTGAGCCCTCTAGGGATGAAGAGATGATTTTCAAGCTCTGAGTGGCCACCCTAGGGTCCAATGCAGATTTTCCGAGTAATCACTAGAGTGTCTAAAGTCTTGGTTAAGAGTTCACTCTAGGAATGAAGACAGATCTTGGACCAACCATTTTTTTGAAGATTTCGAAGCTCTGAAAGACGGACTAGAAAACTACATTTTCTCCTAAATTTGAGTGATCTTTCTAGGGATGAAGAAATGATTTGGAAGCTCTGAGTGATCCCCAGAGGGTTTTTTGCAGGTTTTTTGAGTGATCCCTAGAGTGTCTTGAGTACTGTGTATTAAGACTTGGTTAAGTGGTCACTCTAGGGATGAGAACGGAATTTGTAATGACAAGAAATTCCTTTCAAAGATTTTGAAACCGTGAGTGATCATTATAGGGGTCATTGAAGGTTTTTCAAATGATCCCTAGAGTGATTAAAGTGCCTGATTAAGTGCTCACTCTAGGGATGAAGAAAGAATTCAAAACAACAAGAAATTCTTTCCAAATATTTTGAAGCCCTAAGTGGTCATTTTAGGGTTCCATGCAGGTTTTCCAAGTGATCCCTAGAGTGTCTTGTGTGCTGAGTGTTCACTCTAGGGGTGAATAAAGAACTTGGGCCAATCATAAGCTTTTTATCGATGATTCAGACCCTAGGCCCGAATACAAGACTTTCAAGTGACTACTGTAGTGTCTGAAAGCCCAGGTTCAGAAATCAGTTCAAAAGCGGTCACTTCAGAGAAAAAGAGTTCCGAAATTTTCCCAAAGTCTAAATGGCCTCTCTAAGGTAAAGGAAACACTAAAAAGATCCCTTAAGTGGAAAAAAAAATTCAAAACTTCAAAGATCAAAGAATCTTTAGAAAATCGGAAAGAAAACTATAAAAATCATCAAGTTTCCCCTTGAAAATTACTAGGGATCTTCGCAAAAGTATTCCATTCTTTTGGCCATTCGGAAGCATCCAAAAGGTCAAACAATTGTTTAGAAAAAGAAGCGCCAAACTTTCGATACCGAGAACAAAGAAACATCTGGTTGAGCTTGACCTCGCTTTTAAGAAGTCAAAAAATACCGCAAATCGGCAAAAAGCGCAAAATAAACTTAACCAAATGCTGCTCCTTCAAAACAAAAAATTTGCGAAGCTTCAAAAAAAAAATCTTCTCAAGGTCCTACCATTCTAGCTGATAGCTGATATCTTCAGATATTACAAGAAAGCCTAAATAGACCTCGCAAAATTTTGAGAAAGTTGGAAAGAAAAAAAAACCTAATTCTGAGCGTTTTACTCATAACACTCGAAACGTTCTTATTTCAAGCTTTCTTTCAGAAAAATCGGGACCAGAAAAACTCAAAAAACTTTTTATTCGTCAAATAGTGCCATTATTGAACTCATAAGTCCTACAGTACCTCCCAACTGGGATGGTTCCTTTTATTCTTGAAGGGTGAAAAATAGTCTTCTAAATGAGCACTTATTCAATTTCTGAAGGGGTCAATAAAAATTTTAAAAAAAGCGTGAAAAGTTGCTCGAAGCTTCTAAGTAAGCACAGAAAAACCAGAACAGCTCCATCTAAAAATCGAGCTGGTTTGAAAACTTTTATTTGCGGGAAGGCATCTTTTTGAGCTCCTAAACTCTTCAGTACTTTTCTGGGACGTTTTCTTCATTTTTTTTATCAAGAAAAAAAGGCCTACAAGTCGAAAGAATGTTAAAGAAATCGTGCTTGAAGCATTTTAGTAATTTCTCAAATCTAAAAAGGTCAAAAGGACGTTAAAGGCAGTGTGAAACGAAGCCCACAGCTTTATTCTGAACACTAAATGAAAAATGAGAGCGAATCAATCTACAACTGCAGCTCATTCAAAACACTTTTGTCCATCAAAAAGCTTCTTTTGAGCTTCTGAACTCTCCAGTACCTATCTGGAACCTTTCCTTCATAAAAAAGGTCGAAAGGCCAGAAGAACATTAAAAACTGTGTGAAAAATTGCTTAAAACTTCCTAGTACTGAAAATCGAGAACAACATCTTCAACTTCAGCTCATTCAAAACACATTAATCCATCAAAAAGTACTTTTTTCAAGCTCTTTAACTCTACAGCACCTACCTGAAACCTTTCCTTCATTTTTTTTTCGAAAAAAAGATCTAAAGAGGTTGATAGAAGATCAAAGACTGTGTAAAAAAAGAACAACTTCATCTTCAACTTTAGCTGATTTAAAATACTTTTGTACCTCAAATAGAACCTCTACTGAGATCCACAACTCTCCAGTACCTATCTGGGACTTTTCCTTCGTTTTTTTTTTGAAGAAAAAAAGCCAGAAGAACATCAAAAACTGTGTGAAAAGTTGCTTAAAACTTATTAGTACTGAAAACCGAGAGCAACATCTTCAACTTCAGCTGGTTCAAAGCACTTTTTCCCATCAAAAACCCCCTTTTTCAAGCTCCTCAACTCTCCAGTACCTACCTGAATTCTTTCCTTCACTTTTCTCGAAAAAAGAAGGTCTAGAAAGGTCCAATAAACATTAAAGACAGTGTGAAAAGATGCTTAAAACTTTTTGGTGCTGAAAACCGAGAGAAAGTCCATGTTCAACTTCAGCAGGTTCAAAACCCTTTTTCCCATCAAAAGTACCTTTTTCAAGCTTCTCAACTCTCCAGTACCTACCTGAGACTTTTCCTTCACATTTCCCAAAAACCCATTTACTACTCGAAAAGCCTCTCAAAAAAGGCCCATTCAAGCCTACAAAGCCCTCCTCGAAGAACTCGTTTCATCAGTTCCCAACAAAGCGGAAACAAATGTTGTTGTGTTTGTGTTGATGATGATGGCAATGTGCCAGGCACTTCTTGTCTGAAGGAAAATAAATCTTTCCAGACAACAACAGTTTCTGGGAGACCAACCACTAAAGGAACACGCTCTCAAAAACAACCAAATTAATCTTGACACGAAAACTACAGTAATTTGTCGACGAAAATTGCTCAAGGTCTAGAAATTTCAAGGAAGTTTGTGTTGAACTAAATTCTTCACTGACATTAGGAAAAACGGCACAGAAAGCCTAGAAATGCCTAGGAAACGGTATGTTCAGATTGTGACTCAAAAAAAAAAACTAAAAAAATCTCGACCTGTTTTGAGGAGCATGGACTGAAATGTCTCGCCGCGAAAAAAATTAATAAGTTTTTCAATAATATTTTGCCATTTTAGATCGGTAAATCGGGCTTATTTTTTTAGTCTTTAACGCCATGTTTAAAAGTAATTTCGCGAACTAAAAAAATTTTTCTCTGAGCCTCTAAAAATTGCGTTATCTTTTTCATAATCCCGTTTAGAATCCATCAAAATTATTTCTTTCTGACCATACCATGAACATCAAAAATTTCGGAAGTTTTGAAAAAAGCGCTTCGTATAGCCCCAAAAACCCATTTTTTAGATTTTTCGGAACGCGAAAAAATCCCATCAAACTTTGGCAAGGAAGTGTCATCTCTTCTGACCAACCTACAGACATCCGAAATTAGTTCAAGTAGTTCTTCTCCAAAATACCTGTAGTCCATCTCCTACCTTCCTACAGTAAGGACCCCGCAAAAACCCTTGCTCTGGATACCATTACCGAAAAAGTCCCACCAAAGTTTGCTGACAACGACCAGCCGGCCTGGCAGTGCCAGTCTTGGCGACTTTTTTTGGGCAATGCCGCCCTCTTGACACATCATCTCATGCCCGTTTTCTTGAGTCAACAGCCTCATTCCGACGGTTAATGTGGGAAGGAGAGAGATATGTAATGTACGCCTTGTTCGTCAAGTCGTAAACGACTTCCCAATGTTGCCCATGAGCCTTGTCGAGCGTCGAAAGTTGTTGACCATTTGCCATTTCTTTTTCTTAAAAAAATGAGAATAGGAGACGTAAAAAGCCTTCAGAATTTCAGTGAGTATTCTTGAATCTCTCAAGAGGCCCCTAGAACGTTTAGATGAAGTTCAAAAATGACCAATTACTTTTTTTTTTAAATCAGAAAAGTTGGCACAAAAATCCTTGTAGGAAGACCAAGTCACTTAAGAACTTAAAAAAGTCACTAACCCTTTAGTGAGTACTTATTAAATCACTAAAAAGGTCATATGGCCTTTGACTCGAGGCGAGACATTCTGGATTCTGGAAATAAAGATTCTGTCAGAAAAAAATCTTATGTAACGGGAAACCGACTGAATATCAGGGAAAACCTAATCAAAAAGATAGGATTTTTTTCTCGTTCCAGAAAACCTTTTTTTCTGGGAAAACCGTGTTTAGAACTAAGTTCAGAAGTCATTCCTTTATTATAAATAAAAAAATAGCATTTACGGACAACTGAAAACTTCAAAAAAACGGCGTTCGCGTAATTGACTCAAAACAGCTTCAAAACGGGTTTTTGTCCTTGGAAGAAAAGTTTTTGCGACTGCGCGTTCACTCTATCCTAATTTATTTATTAAAAGGAACAATTTAATGCCGAAAAATTCATCTATTAAAAAAAATTTTTGATTTTTCGCGATTTTTTTCCGATCAACGGTTTTTTCTGAGCACCCACAATGAAAACTTCCGCATTTGATGTCAAAGTGTAGCCAGTAACTATGGGATCTATGGGACATGGAATGGAATAAATCTATGGGACAGTTTTGCAAGTTTCGCTCTAGCTCTAGAGAAAATTGAGTTTATGACATTTTTCAAGTGTACTCATCGTTTTCTTACTGGATACTTTCCTGAAATATGCATGCTCGGTAGCAATCGAAACATGACCGAGCCCTCTACGGATTTCCGTGAAACACTCTATATTTAAAGAAATAAAAAAATTCCAAGCTAAGAATCAGGCTTTTGCGAGGGCCGGCCCGTCAACGTCTCGGCCCCCGGCCACTTTCCAAGCCCGGCCCGGCCCGGCCCTAGGGAGGCCTTAAGCAAAAATGGCCGGCCCGGCCCAAAAAAACTCAAACTTTCTTCAAGTCGAATTTTTTTCGCTTTTTTTAACGAGAAACGCGTTTTTTTCAAACTTTTTTTCTCATAGAGTTTTGAGGAACTATGGCTTAACAAGCAAAAATAATTTTTTTCCGTGAAATTTTTTTCAAAATAAAATTTAAGATTTTTTCGAAGCCCGGCAGGGCTTTTTCTGAAGTTGTGAGCCCAAAGACCGGGCCGCCCGGCCTGACGCACATGCCTGCTAAGAATCACAAAAATACGAAAAAAATAGCAAGCGCGCCCCATGGATACGAGCGCGCGTGTGTGCCGCGTGGCGTTGTTTTTACATCAGTTGGCTTGCGTGGTGTCGCCTTTTTTTCTTTTTCGTGTTGGTTGCGTGAATTTCTATCTGTGATTATCATTGTTTATTTCTCCTTATTTTCAAAGTAGTTAACAAACTTTCCTTCTTTCTCTCTCTTGAATTAATCGAATTAAACTAATATTTTTTAAAGTTTTTCTTTTTGTAAATCGTTTGCTTTCAGTTGACAAAAAAACAATGGTGGATGAGTATCAAGAAGTCGTCGACAAATTGTGCCAAATCCATGCAGATGACGTCGAAAAGTGTGCGGAAATCCTGGACATTCTAGCGATCCAAGATGCGAAATGCGGGGGAAGAGGGAACTCAGCTATGTGGAGAATGCTGAAGAGCCTCATCGCCTTTGATCAGGTGAGCGTTCGCAAGAAACTATCCAGCGGGCCCTCTGTGATGTTCCCATCCTTCTCATAACTTTCCTGGATCTTTCAACTCCTCTTGCTATTGTTTCCGTTAGTCAAACCGTATGAATGCTTTATTATAAGTTTCTGCTCGTAGGCAAAGTCGGAAGGACCCTCCGAGGGTCCATAAAGGTCCATAGAAATGTTCCTATTTTGCTGCCTTTTGGGCCATTTTCTCAGCCCATATGCACCTTTTTGCGGTCTCTCCCTTCCGTCATTTCTCGAGCCTTCAAGATCCCAGAAAAATGGAAAGATAAAAGGACTCTTTTTTCTGCCTTTTAGCTGCCTTTCTGCGGCCTTTTTGCTGCTTTTTTGCTGCCTTTTTGCTGCCTTTCTGCGGCCTTTTTGCTGCCTTTTTGCTGCCTTTCTGCGGCCTTTTTTGAGCCTCTACCTTTTAGCGACCATTATCCACCATCCCGACTTTGCCCGAGCTGAGTCTCCTGAGCTGTGTGTGACTCCTTTAACACTTGGCGTTAATTTTACACTAAGCTTTTTTTTTCAGCCATTCAAGTCTTATTCCGAGAAGCTCGTTCTATCAGCAGATAAAATGCCGTCTCGACCAGCAATGCCGTTGGGCCAAACTATGGATGTGCGTCCGGTTAGCCCCAAAGGTAATAAATTGCGCATTTAATGATCGATATTCATTGAGCCTAATTAATTTTCCTATTTCAGGATC